AACTAAAAACACAAATAAAGGCAGTAAGCTCCGTAACATCGGCCTTAATAACTAAAAAAAAAAAAAAAAAAAAAAAAATAGAAATTGACCTTAATATAAGCAGCTAATGTAATAGAATAAAACAAATCTATACTCTCTTACCTCTTCTTGTATTCATACAAAGTTAGCCAAAAGTTATAAAATTTTCTTGCCTATTACTTATAAATTATCAGCAAACAAATCAGATGAAATTTTAAATTTAAGCAATTCAGAAAAATCAAATAAACATTTAAATGATTTAAGCAATTCAGAATAATACTCAAATAAATCAAACAAATTAGATCAATATTCTAGTAAAAGTTTGAGTGAAACTCATATAGATTGAGTTATTAATGAAGAAAACTCTTTATATAATTGGAGAATAATTAGGAAAAGCAATTACTTGACAATATAGATTGGGAGGATACAAGACAGAATATTTACATGATTATATAACTTTGAACAATTTGAAGGATTACGAAAAATATTTACAAGATAATGATAATGATTTGATAAATAATACAAAGCAAAATACCTAAAAATACAAACTATTTGAGAGCTAATCACAATTTTTTAAAAAATTTAATAGAAAATACAGTCTGTATTTTCTAAATTTTACATCTACTATATTTTTTTTATAGATTATAGAGCATATGATTTTTATAGCAGCCTATGAAAACCTTGTCAAAATTCTTAAAAATTCATATTTTCAGCTTGAACATATTATTGCAAATATAAGATATTTTCACAAATGAAGAAATAGACTTTTATTGCTCAAGATTTGGAGTTATACAGTTTCAATTTCTAGATAGCATATCTTATCAAATTTAGCTTCAACCAAACCTGCATATTCAATAATGCCAGTAGATTATATTGAATATATTCTTAATAATCTAACAATTGTGCCTAATTTATACTTTGGCTCTGGTATTGTATATGATAAAAAATATGAGTTCTAGCATAGTACACTCTAGTAGAACTTATTTTTATTTGAAGAAACTAAACTTTGTGTAAATAATGTTTAGCAATTTTTCTATTTAGCATAGTATATTAGAGATATTATATAATAAAATTTAGTACTCTGATTTACTATACTAATTAGTTTTTTTTATTAGTTACTTATCAAGCAGACAATTTTTTATATTATTACCAAGACAAAGCAATTAAGTTTGTACATATTCATAGTGTTGTTGAAGTTAAAAAGAGTTAATTATTCAGAGCTAATCTACTTGTTTTATATAATGAGCTTTTTGGATACTTGCATAGTATGAATAGAAAAGCATATAAAATAAATATAAAAGAACTTTGGCTTGTTGAAAAACAAGAGTATTTGATTATACCTAAAAATATTACTCAAATTAATATTTGGTTAAAGAATCTTAATAGACTAGTAAATATGAATATTTTGTAACTAAAATATTATATAGTTTTAATAGTCAGTAGTATATTTGTAACTTTACTAAAAGACACAGAACTCTTTATGAATATATATTTATTTCACTATTACCACTACAACCAATATCTATTAAAAAGGTTTTTCTTGATATCTATTTTGATAATTTTAGAATATTTTATAATTTATATCATTTATTAGAAAAGGTTTATTTAGTTATTTAAAATATGCTATATAAGTTACAAAAGCTACTTAAAAATTATTTTTACTTGGCTTTGTTCTATTTAGAGCATTATTTAAAAATTTAATTAAACAAATTCTTGATAATATTTGCCAATTACAATATAGAAAAATTATAAATACTTTGAAAGAAAAAATATATCTTATTGGTAGACTTGGCTATATTATAGCCAATTTGCCCCTGCTGGTGTACTTAGACAAAATGCAAATTATAGTTGCAGAACTTGTTTTTTATCAAGTAGCTAATTAACAAACTCCAACTTTGACTTTGTTGCAAATATATATATTTACTACTTAACCAATATACAATATAATGAAATTGTATAGCAACAAACAAACTCTGCTCATTAGTCAATATAAACTTTGTGCAAAGCCAGTTATTGATACTCTTTATTAAAACAGATATTTACAATTACTACAAGATACTTATCATACACTTGCTAGTAAAGCTACATATCTTCTAGATATAACTCTTAGATATCTAAATATTAATAGAGAAGTAGCTTTGCTTAAGTATTAAAAAGTATCAAAAACTAGCAAGATAGTTACAGATGCCAAATCTACTAACCTATCATCATAGTTTTATATTTTTTGATACTTTACGTCTGGCAATATTAATACTATTTATTCTATTTTACTTTTTATTATCTTTATATTTAAAGGTTAAAATAATTAAACATTTAAAAAATATATATAAGCTTACTCATAATGATTATACTATTATTAAACTAATAGAACTTTGGATAGTTGAAACAAAACTACTTAAGTTGGCTTTCTTAACAACAATGATAAATAACATATATAAGGAGTTTTGTAATTTGTTTAAAAAAAAACAAATTAGTTTTTTGAAGATTTTTTCTGACATATTTGAAAACTTACCTAGTGTTCATGTAAATATCTATTGGCTACACCATGCTCATATATTTGCAACTCATGTAAACATATCTGTTAAAGTTAAAAAAATAGTATAAAGAATATACAAAAATATAGGACTATATTCTAATTACAAAATTCTTAAACTAGATCTCCTTTGGCGATTTAATACCTTATTTATATTAATTTACTTATTTGATGATATTAAAGATTACTATTTTCTAACAACTATAAATAAAATTTTAAATATTTTTCTAGATATGTTACTATATTCAAGTTTTTGCAAACAATATACTACAGAGCAAAACTTAAAAATTATTGACAATGATGATATTGAAAAAATTGAAATTATCTCAAATTTGATATCAAAAAATTTTATAGATATAGTATTGTGAAATAAATAGCCAAAAACAAGAGCAAATATTGAAGAATTGTCAACAAAGCTAAGCAGCTAGTGTTCTCTTTTTCATGATTTACATATATATATCATATTTAGAATATTTTAGTTTACAAAGTGCTTTTTTAATAATAAATTAGAATTTTTTGATTATATTTCATATACTAGGCTTTTTTTTTATAGTTAAGTTAGGATTTAGGGTTAGAATTATTAATAAAAGAGTATAGGTGGATTTTGGTAGGGCTTATATTTTCAAATCGAGACCCCCAAATTTCATGATAATCTGATTTCACGATAATCCGTAACATTAAATAATCCCAAATTTTTTCTTTTGGACGACCTGCATGCACTTTTTTATTTTAGTGTTCTATGTTGTTTTTTGAATATATTTCAGTTTGAGATAGTTTAAATTTGTATAGGTTGATTTATTAATCATATTAGAAGTTAGAAAGAGATTTCAATATAATAAAGATAATTTACTGATTATGGATAATTTTAATAGATTATATGATATACCAATAATAATGTTTGTAATTACTAAATAAAATATTTTTGTGAAGTAATTTATTTTTGCATTTAAAATTTTAATTAAGCTGGCAACGCTATATGAAACATAAGAATAGAGATTTTTTTTGATTGAATGATTATTGTATAAAAAATTATAGCATCCAACAAACATCCTGTCCTGTAAATGTTTAAAATAGAGTTGATTTTCCAAACAAAAAATCAGAGCGATTCAAGAGATTTATTTATATTTGTTAAAATAATGTAATTAACACTAAAACACTTAATAATACAAAATAATGTAATTAACACTAAAAAACTTAATAATACAAAATATACTATAAATTTAAATAACTATGATAAAAAAAAGTATATTGAAATAAGTTACTACACATTGAAAATTTTTTTATCGAAAGATAATTTACTTATGTAGTGTTTATTCATTTTCGATTTGTTGCGCCTTTTTCACCAAGTCAGGATTAGATTTTCCATTTTCAATAGTTTGCAAAACGTCATTAGTACCTTTTATTGAATAAGTTGTGTGATTATTTACCAACACTTTGTTTAATAAAGGTATCTCAACTTTTTTTCCTAAGTTGCTAAGGAAATAATATACTATAGGAGTATTTGGGATCCACGTAGGAGGTCTTTTATCTTCATAGTCTGTATTAGCAAAAAACCAAACTAAATGAGAAACTCCATTTTCATACTCAATTTCCTCTTCTACTTCTACTTCGTATGGTGAATTTTCTTTATAATTAACCAATTTATGTTCATCATCTTTAAGTTTTCTTATTGATTTAATAGTCAATAGTGGTGTTTTTAGGTTATCATTTATACCAAATGGGTAAAGGAATGATTCAAATCTATTCGCAATACTTTGCGCTTTTCCCACCAAATCAGGATTAGATTCTCCATTTTTGATAGCTTGCAAAACGTCTTTAGTACCTTTTATTGAATAAGTTGTGTGATTATTTACCAACACTTTATTTAGTAAAGGTATCTCAACTTTTTTTCCTAAATTGATAAGAAGGTAATATACTATAGGGGTGTTTCGGATAAATGCCGCAGGTCTTATATCCTCATAATCTGCGTTAGCATAAAACCAAATTAAATGAGAAATGCCATTTTCATACTCAATTTCCTCTTCTACTTCTACTTCATATGGTGAATTTTCTTCATAATTAACCAATTTATGTTCATCATCTCTAAGTTTTCTTATTGACTTAATAGTTAATGGTGGTGTTGTTAGGTTTTCATTTATACCAAATGGGTAAATGTATGATTCGAATTTAATAGGAGCTTGTCGTGGTTCCATTTTACTTTCTATATCCTGAAGACGATATTTAATAAAATTTGAATTGTATCCTTTATTATCGTTTATCGCATTTTTCACATTTCCATTAAAGAAATTATATTTTGTCCAAATAATTGTGATAATAATAAGACATGAAATAAAATATCGATTGAATTTTCGAACATGGAATTTATTAAAAGAAAAGGTATCCATTTAAAATATAAATAATTGATGAGTAATTAGCGAGGAATCAAAAATGTTGAATAAGTACCTTAATATATGAGAGAGTCAAGAAAATCCCAATTTTTTAAGATAGACCAAGGTGAAGAAAAGGTATATATATATATATATTTAGTCTCAAGAATGTGCCTTTACATTGTAAACTATAAATTTTCTATCGGACACTTGATTCCGAATCCATTGTTTATTTATCACAAGTGAATATCCGCTTACGTAAATTCGCAATTTAAGAATCATTTGTATTAATTTAGCGAAACAAAAAATTTACTTATAAATCGGGTACATGACATAATTTACATACAAAGTCAACATTCAGAAAAATTTCCATTTTGTATGTACGGATTAGGAACTCAATCTCTCTAAATAGATAAATATTTCCTAAGTTATAAATCTCAATAAAGTACCAAAAATCTAGAATTTTAATCTGCAAATAGATATGCCAAGAACTAAATTAAAAATTTTCGGACCTAATAGTATACGTATACTATTGATAAGGAATGACTTCAATGAGTATCTTTTATTCTATAAAGTAATTGCTCTATTTAGATAAATATTTCCTAAGTTATAAATCTCAATAAATTGCGAAAAATCTTGAATTCTAATCTATAGATGATAATACGCCAAGAATCAAATTAAGCTGTATCGAACTTATAGATGGGAAAAATACGCATTTTTCGGAAAACTGCACATGAATGCGCATGCATGCGCACTTTTTGCTGGACAAAATTCAATCTAATTTCAAATTATTTACATACGTTACAAAGAATAATACATTTGATTTTTAGGCTCAAGACATAAAGAATTCAGCGCAAAAGTTATTCCACAGTTCTAGCTCGCATTATATTGGTCATGGGCCAAAATTATCTTAATGTCGGCTGAGTTAACGGTTAGACCATTCTAATTTGATTCTATGTTTAACATAACATTAATAAAATGAAAACAGGAGGGGGTAAAAAAACATGAGATTTTGATTGGCTAAAAAAATTTTTTTTTGAACAGTTAATATGATTTTTATATTAAATGGTGTTAATTACCCCCTATATCTGAGGCTCAAAGAGAGGGGGGGGGGGGGTTCATGTTAAACATAGTTTTAAATTGGTGTGGCCTTAACACGTTTAAATGGTTATAAATTTTTGATTAAATATCACGTAAATGAAATAGAATTATATGTATAGATGCGTATTAGTACACACGCATGAAAGTACATTGAATAAATCTATAGTATCGAAGCTAACAAATTTTTATATAGAAAATATTGATGGAAAAATGCGCATGAATGCGCATGCATAAATACGCATCAGCGCATCTCTAATCGAACTTAATAGTGTACCTTATAAGCAATCAATTCAAAGACTTTAGAATATCTCTTAATGTAGTTTCAATGATTAGTTATCCTTTTAGGTGGTTTTAAGTAGTGTTGCTCAAATTATTGCGATTGAATGGTAAATGCGGATAAGTTTTTTAAAAATTCATTGTGTGAAATGCGAATTCTAAATTTAGCCAATCAGTGCAACTCTATGAAAAGAGTGGCCTGCGCTCCAGATTTTATTCACCAAAATGGTAACTCGTTTGGTTATTCAATTCAGAATAATTTAAAATTTTTCTCCGATTTATTGACTAAGTGTTTGAGAACTCCCTTATTCTAAAGTGATTGAAGTTTCTAGATTATTTGCACCGTAAGTACAATTAGTTCCACATGTGAACATGTCACCTTGGTGTTTAAAGGCACGGTATCTTTAATAATATGTATAAATATGTTGCTTTATATTAGTTAAATTGTTTTATTAGTATCTTGTAAACTACTTGGGAGAAAACCAAACATCAGTACCATCAGTACCATACACAGGTATACAACTTTTCCAAATATTTTCTTTATTATTGAAATTCTTTCCGTATCTCCTTCACATGCAATATAAAAGGTTGGAAAATATTTGGAAGTTATTCAGAAAGGTTGCATATCATACCAAGGATTTTTGAAAAAATACTTGTTGAAAAGGTTTATTGTTCTACCTGCGATAAGTATCCCATATGTGAAGCCAAATAAGGCACCAAAAATAATAACTCTAACAATAAAATATTGAAGTTAACAACTTGAAAGAATATTGCTCGCTTTGGGACAATGCAACCTAAATTGATTTAGAAAGTTTTTACAAACACACATAATGAAATTTGGATAAAATAATACAAATTCTGAAATATTTTACTAAATGAAGAAAAGACCCAATTTAAACTCTTTGAATTAATACAGCTTATTGAATTATACCAAAATAGATATTGATAGACAAATTAGGATGTAATCGCGCTAAAATCAGGAACAGAGAATGTGTATATAAATGAATTTTTAATCAGCACGTAATCTAAATAGTACCAATTATAGTACTTATAACCCTAGTCAAATTTGCAAATCGTTTGGCCAAACATAAAACTTATCTATTCCGAATTTGTTTAAACGATCTGCAAATTTGACCGGAGTTATAAGTAATCGGTTTTACTATTTTTAGATTACAATCAATTTTCAATACGTACCTGTTTAAAACATGATTAGCACAATTTAAAATTCACTGATAGTTATGACCACGCACACCATTTAGCCATACTCTTCGTTTCACTCGTTCCTGGCATGTTAATTTAATGAATTATACCTAAATAGATATTGATGGGCAAATGCTAATTTAATGAATTATACCAAGAATGAATTATATTGACAGGGCAAATGTTAACACGTATCAGTTTGTGTTTGTTCGGTATTTGTTTTCTGGATACATATTTTCCAATTTATTTAATCCGCTATATTTTGAATTGATGTTTATGAATTATACCAAGAATGAATTATATTGACAGGGCAAATGTTAACACGTATCAGTTTGTGTTTGTTCGGTATTTGTTTTCTGGATACATATTTTCCAATTTATTTAATCCGCTATATTTTGAATTGATGTTTTATATTTTCGTATTACATCGTGAGTCGTCACATTACTTATTTTATCCAAAAAGGAAACCACCCACTCAAACATTTGAATTGTACGTTCGTACGTAATTACGTACGTACGTATATATGTTCTCATGTCCTAGTGCTAGTTCCTCAAAATTTTTTTGCCGAGCCAATGTTGCATTTATAGAGTTGTTTAAGCTTAGCATAACCAGGATTGAGTCAATAGCATGTACAAAAGATGCAAATAAAAAACTTTGAAAGTTTAACTAACGTCTAGCCCATGGCAAAACCACGAAATTTCATGGAAATTTTATAAAATTCTAAAGTCTTAACTAAAATCCAGTACACAAATCTGTACATCGTACGATGTATTTTTATGTAGGTTATGTCATAATAGCTTACTATATTTACCCCTTATGTAAAGTGTTGAATCTATATTTTAATTTTTCAGCATACCGCAAATGTGTACAAGGTTTTGCTTCGAATGAACATGTGATAATACGACAATTACTTAGTCAAACCTTTCTAAATTACTGAAATATAATTTTAATTATATCAGAAATGATAATAATAATTTGTATTATAAAGTCGATTTTTGCCTTTTAGTTATTTCGTTTGTATCTTAGTTTATTTGTGTTGTATCAAAGGTACGTAAAAAGAAACCAAAACTTCGCTGCTTTACCGATTTTATAGCGCAAATTCTACGAACGCAATATAAACATTATATTGAGCTCGTACCAATAATTAACAATCAACATGAATTTATATGTGGATATTAACACTAAAGAAGGTTTTAATGGTTAATCGATACTTAGAAATATCAAAAAAAATTATGATATGGCACACATGAAATTACCCAATTAAGAGACAAATGCAGTTGCCTCTTTATTAGCGAAGTTCTATGGCAAAACTGTACCGATACGAAGTAAATAAAGTATAAGATAAAGAAAACATGCTAGTCGTTTTGAATGTACGCAACATATTGGTAAAAAGCTATCGAGAAACCTCGCTTAATTTTAGAAAGAACTGATTCGTCTATCAGAAAGTGTTTCTAAATTTTTAAAAAATTCAACAGCACTTAAATTACTTAGGCTACACAAAGGTGATTTTTCGTTTTACATTAAATGTCATTCGAAATTTCGATCGGGGATCGGAATTTTTTTTTGGTTAATCTAAACTAATAGACTGAATTTTCGTGTAGCAAAGTCTTTAATTTCTAAGGCTTTCTTGAAAAGCATTTTACTTGTTCGGATGATTCCAAGTTCATTAACTTTTAAATCAGTTAAATCATAATGCATTATAAAACTATATTAAATTTTAACTTATCGGTAACTTACCAAATTTGTAACTGTACTAATCCGTTATCCAGTTTATAATTTGAAAATTAATGCGTATATTTGATGTTTCTGCAGCTCAAGCAATCGACACTT